TCATTATTAAATTTCAGAAACAAATAATTATAAAATTAATAATTATTTAGATAAATTTTATAATATAATATATTTAGTATTGTAAAAAATTATATTTAATTAAAATTAATAATTTATTATTTTAAAAATATAATAATGTTATAATATCATCTTTACTTAACTATAATTTAGTGTATATATTATATTTATTAATTAAACTAAAATATATATAATATATAAGTCAATAAATAGATAAGCCTCTTTATAAAAGAATATACTATAACATTATGGTTTTTTAATTTCTGTTTATTATAAAAAGAAAGATTTTCTTTTTAAACTTATATAATCTAAGATATTCCTTTTCTATATTGAATCTTTAAATTTTATAATCACCGTAGAAGACAAATATAATGGAAATCAGATATGAGATTATAATTTTTTTTTAATTTTTTTTTTTTTTTCAAATAATAAAAGTGAAAATCTTATTTATAGATATACTTCTAAATTTTTTATATAATTTAAATTAAAAAAATTTATATTTATAAATTTTTTATATTCTTCCATTCCATTTATTATTTTCATAAATTTTTAATCTTCATTTTTTAATTCATCAATATGATATTCTTTAAGAGAATTTAATTCATTTAATATTTTATTATTATTATATATTTCTATTTCGTTTTTAATTTCATGGATTTTTCATTAATATATATTTTATATCATTTATTTTTTTTTTTATTTTTTATTATTAGTTTTTGTATATTTTATTTTTTATTTTTTATTTAAAAATTTATACTTAATACCGTTATTATTGATTCTGAATTAATATTAGAAATTGTTAATAAAATTAAAGATATATCATATTCAATAATATCAGTTAATAAATTAGGATAAATAGCAGTAATAAAAATAGAAATTAATATAGGTAATATTAAAAAGAAATATTTTCTAGAAAATAAATTTAAAATAGATTTTAAATATAAAGAATAAGAACCATTAAATAATTTATCAAAAAATCAAATAGAATAATTAGCAACTAAAATAATACTTAAAGAACTAAATATACCCATAAATGGATTAATTTCAAATATACCAATAAAAGATAAAAATTCACCAATAAAATTATTAGTTAAAGGAGTAGCCATATTAGATAAAATTAAATAAAATAAAATAATACTTAATATGGGCATTAATATAGTTAAACCTTTATAATAATATAAAATTCTAGAATGGAATCTATCATATAAAATAGCAGCACAAATAAATAAACCTGGAGAAGTAAAACCATGAGCTATAGATAAAAATATTGATCCAGATATACCTTGATATAAAAAAGAAAATAAACTCATTATTGCAATAGCCATATGCTCCCAACATTAATTAATGTCAGGTCGGACCATATCTTTATTTACTTATTCTGATTTAAAACCTTTATCCCATGAACTAATTAATTGTTGTCATGCTTTATTTAAAATTGAGTTATTATCAGCGGAACAAATTCTTAATTCGTTCAGTTCATAAAATTTAGGGATTAAGTTAATTCTAGTAAATTTAGCGGATCTAGAAGGATTAAGATGAAAATAATCTTTATATAAAGATAATACTTCTTCTTTTTTATAAATAACCCATCTAAATGTTTTTCTTTGTTCATCCCGAGGATGAACTCTACCTCCATATAAATTTACTAAAGAGTCAAAAAGATATTTATCTTTTTGAGTAAATGAAAATATTAATTTATAATTTATTTTATCCATGTATATACTACCATCACTATCAAAAAATCCTGATAACCAACCAGAATCATATACCAATGGTTCTGGTTGTATTAAAATTATACTATATTTAGCACATATTTTATTTAATTGATCCAATCTTATTGGATTCCTTACATGTCCATTTATAGCATAAATCAGATTTAACATTCCTTCTTTATGATGTAATCTATATCTTACAGCTTTAGCACTAGATTTTAATTTTATTGAACCACCAAATTGTTGTTTAATTAAATATAAACAATGTTCATCTCTTAAATTCATAGTTATTTCTAAACTTACAAATCCTGTTTTATTAAAATAGAAATTACCATCACCATCAATTAAACCTGCTAACCATTCGTTAAATCTTTTTTTTGCTTTATTTTTATTTTTAGTAGAAGTAGTATACATAGAAGTAAAATTAAAAACAGGATAAATATAAATATTCATCAGGATTATATATTTTTTTAATATATAAGTAAATAACAAACATATGGCCTCTGAGATTTCCATTCACGTGCTAAGCGCTTTGGTTATCTGCGGATTGTTAAAATATATTATAGAAATTCTTACTAAAACGGAATCTAAAAATAAAATAAGATTACTGACAATTTTAGTATTCTGTAATATTGAAAAATTAAATATTAAATTTTTATTTAAAATTTTCTTTAATTCCCCGCATATAGTTTGTTGCGGAAAAAATAATATCTTTTCGGTGCCAATTTGACCAATTGAGCTATAAGCAATAATTTTTTTAAAATCTATTTGTCTTAATGTTGTAAAAGAAGAATAAATAATACCTAAAACAGATAATGGTAATATTAAAGGTAAAAAATAATAAGATCCTTCTGGAAATAAATTTAAAGAATATCTTATAAATCCATAAGTGGCTAATTTTAACATAATCTTTTTTTTTTTTTGATCTACTACTAAAAAAAGTCACGAAGTATATTTATAATTACAGATATACTTCCCAAATAAAGAAAAATTTTGTACAAATATATATTTATCTAATATAATTCTTTATTTGATAGATACTCCACATGTTTCCATATGGTTTGGACTATATCTTAATAATTAAAACAATTCTATTATATTTTATATAATTTTTGTAAATGATCTCAATTAAAATAAGTTCTTTTATTATTCATATTAGATTTTATTATAAAGATTTTTTTAATATCTAGTTCATTTTTTTTTTTTTGTATATAAAATAATTCTAATACTTTACACCAATCTTTATAATCTAAATATTTACTACCGAACAATTGATAGTTGTCTAAATAATTTTTTAATATTAAATTACCTTCTAAATTAGTAGTTCTAATTCTATATTGAGGATTTTTAGAAGTTACATTAATTTCTTTAAGATTAGATAATAAAAATTTACTAATTTGAGACATCGTCTCAAAATTTAAATTACCATAAATATCTTTTTGGCTTTGTACTAATTCTAAACTACAAGCAGTTTTTTTTAATTTACCTTTTTTATCTATAGATAATTTTACAGAAAAATGACCATCTGCTTCTATAAACCCTGCTAACCAAGCATTACTATTTAATTCAGAATTATCTAAAGGTTTTTTAATAATATAAATATCTTTTTTATTAAACCATTCTATAAGTTTATAGAATTGATTAATTTTAGATGTTCTCAAATAACCATTTATTAAATTAATTATTTTTTCTAAACTTTTTTTATCACTAATTCTATAATGATATGCATTTTTACCTTTTATTTTATATATATTACCTATATATATAATTTTTTGTAATGTAGCGAATAAAGGATAATCTTTACTAGGGAAAGCAATAATAATTTGAGGTGTATTAACCTGATTTTTAGGTAAATAAATACAACCATCTCCTTCTATTAAACCAGCTAAGTAAGAACCTAAATAATTTTTAGTTAAGTTTACATAATTTGTATTTGTTTGTTTATTAATAAAAGTAGAGAAATATTGTTTTTCCAAATTAATTATAAAGTTATAAAAATTGGTATAAAATTTTAATTTAATAGAACGATAATTGTAAATAGAATTGTTTATTATTTTTAGCGTATAGTCTCTGAGGATCCTATGTAATTTATTTAATATAAAAATTATATTAAATATTTTTACTTTCGACATGGGTCGTACATCAAATATGATATAGTTTCCTGCTGATTGTCTTATTAAATCAAAAATATTTTTAATTAGATTTATAAATAAGAGTTTCCAGCATATAGCTAAATTTTGAGCTAGCATTAGTTTACCAGCTAATATTATAGAACCACTTAATGGAGCTTCAGTATGTGCTAAAGGTAATCATTGATGGAAAGGTAATAAAGGTGTTTTTATTGCAAAAGATATAAAAAATCCTAACCATAATATAAATTGTCTAGAAGGTGAAAAATAAGATGAAGAAATAAAAATATAATCATAAGTACCTGAAAAAGAATATAAAGTTAATATAGCTAATAACATAAATAATGATCCTGCTAATGTCATTAAAAAAAATTGATAAGTTGCATATATTCTAGTTAATTCTTCTTTTTCTTTACCTTTTTTATAACCTTGTCTATCACTACCAAATAAACCAATTAAAAAAAACATAGGTATTAGTGATGCTTCAAAAAAAATATAAAATATTAACATATCTAATATTACAAATACACCTATTAATATAGTTTCTAATAATAATAATGAATTTATAAAATATTTTATGTTTTCTTCTATATCTCAACTAGCTAATATAGATATAACTATTATAAATGTTGTTAATAATATAAATAATAATGATATTCCATCTACACCTAATGCAATTATATCTGTAAATTTTATTAAAAATTGTGGTTGAATACAACTATAATCAAATTTATTTCACATTATTATAGATATTATGAAATTTATCATAGCTGTTCCTAATCCTATTTTTTTAATTTTTTTTTTTTCAGTTATTTGTAAACTAATAATAATACCTATAATTGGTATAAATAATAATAATATAATCATTTTTTTTTTCTTTTTTTTTTTCTTTTACTTTTATAATAATTTCTTACTTTTTTTTAATCTTCTCTATTAAATTTTTATTGATATATATATTTTTTCACTCGTTGAAGGATTTGAACCTACAATATACGATTTAGAAGATCGATGCTTTATCCAATTAAGCTAAACGAGTTATTATAAAAAATATTTTATATAATAAAGGCGAATAATGGGAATTGAACCCATATCAACAATGCCACAAATTGTTGTTCTACCTTTAAACTATATTCGCCTTAAGAACACTCTACAGGAATTGAACCTATATAAATAATTTCGAAGATTATTACTTTAACCTATTAAGTTAAGAGTGTTTATAAATATATATAAAACAAGGAAAAAAGGATTTGAACCTTTAAAACTAATTTTGGAGACTAGTATTTTACCAATTAAATTATTTCCCTTATTTAAATTTTATAAAAAATATTTTTTATAAAATTTAAATATAATTAATTATCTATAAAATTTAATATACCTTTACTTAATTCATAAATAAATCCTATAGTTAATATAAGTATAAATATTGTACCTATTCAAAAACCAAATAAAGAAATATTATATAAAACAGAAGCAAAAGGAAATAAAAATATTACTTCAATATCAAATATTAAAAATAATATTGCTACTAAATAAAATTGTATATTAAATTTTTCTCTAGCTGTACCTATAGTATCCATACCACATTCATAAGGTGATAATTTAGAAAAATCAGGTTTATTAACAGGTATTATAAGATTAATTATTAATAAAGTTAATAATATAATAGGTGTTAATATAATAAATAATAATAATGTATTCATTTATTTATTTTTTTTTTTTATTTTTATTACCATATATTATTTATCTCGGATAGATAAGACTCGAACTTATAATCTTCTAAACCCAAGTTAGACGCGTTACCTATTACGCCACTATCCGTTAACGGGCAGAATGGGATTCGAACCCATGAAAGTTATTTAAAACTTTTCTTCGTTTCAAGCGAAGCACCTTAAACCATCTCAGTCATCTACCCTAATATAAGAATTATTTTTTTTATTTATTTTTATAATGTAAATTTAGGAAGTAAAGTATTTTCTGAAGTTATTGTAATATTTATTGTACCTCTTAATCTATGATAAGCTACTAATATAGATAAAGCTATTGCAGATTCAGCAGCTGCAATAGATATTATATATAAACCAAATATTTGAGCTAATATGTCATCATAAATAATAGAAAAATAAAGAACTAAAATAGTAACAGCTAATAATAAAATTTCAATTGATATTAAAACAAGTAAATAATGTTTTCTATTTAAAATAATACCATAAATCCCAACTAATAATAATAATAAAGCTAATTTCATTATAACAAAAAAATTTTTTAATGGGGAATATTATCCTTTTGTTTTATTATTATTCGGAAAAAAAGGGAATCGAACCCTTAAAGATATCTAATATCCACAGTTTAGCAAACTATTACCATACCATTAGGTGATTTTTCCTTTATTTAGCCGTAGCCCTGAATTGAACAGAGATCCGATCATTAACAGTGATTGGCTTTACCATTAAGCTACTACAGCTATTTTAATGCCTTGAGGATGACTCGAACATCCTACCCAGAATTTTCAGTTCCGTACTTTTACCTGTTAAGCTATCAAGGCATAATTTGAGAGTATTGGGATTTGAACCCAAACTATACAAATTAAAAGTTTGACACTCTACCAATTAAGTTATACTCCCTATTATTTTATATTTTATCAAAATATAAAATTTTATATTTTGATAAGATTAGAGAGTGAATTGAACACTCATAATCAGGTTTGCAGCCCGATACTTTACCGTTAAGATATCTAATCTTTATTTTTTTTTTTTTGAAATCGAATGGAATTGAACCATTATTTTTTGCTTATCAAGCAAACACTTTAACCTTTAAGTTACGATTCCTTTATTATTTTGATCTCAGTCCGATTCGAACGAACATAATGGCAGTGAAGGTGCCAGATCCTACCTTTAGATGATGAGATCTTTTTTAAAGTGCGAATGATTGAATTGAACAATCCCTTTAAGATCATGAGCCTTATGTGCTACCTTTACACTTATTCGCAGTAATTTTAAAATA